AATATATTTTACATAGCCACCCTTTGCCTTGATGTCAGCTTTACACACTCTTGGTATTCTCTCAACCAGCTTCATGAGGTAGTCACCTGGAACGCGTTTCAATTAACAGGTGTGCCTTCTTAAAAGTTAATTTATGGAATTTATTTCCTTCTTAATGCGTTTGAGCCAATCAGTTGTGTTGTGACAAGGTAGGGGGGTATACAGAAGATAGCCCTATTTGGTAAAAAAACTAAGTCCATATTATGGCAAGAACAGCTCCAATAAGCAAAGAGAAACAACAGTCCATCATTACTTTAAGACAAGAAGGTCAGTCAATACAGAACATTTCAAGAACTTTGAACATTTCTTCAAGTGCAGTCGCAAAAACCATCAAGCGCTATGATGAAACTGGCTCTCATGAGGACCGCCACAGGAATGGAAGACCCAGAGTTACCTCTGCTGCAGAGGATAAGTTCATTAGAGCTACCAGCCTCAGAAATTGCAGCCAAAATAAATGCTTCACAGAGTTCAAGTAACAGACACATCTCAACATCAACTGTTCAGAGGAGACTCTGTGAATCAGGCCTTCATGGTCAAATTGCTGCAAAGAAGCCACTACTAAAGGACACCAATAATAAGAAGAGACTTGCTTGGGCCAAGAAACACGAGCAATGGACATTAGACCGGCGGAAAGTTGTCCTTTGGTCTGGAGTCCAAATTTGAGATTTTTGGTTCCAACTGCCGTGTCTTTGGGAGACGCGTTGTGGGTGAATGGATGATCTCTGCATGTGTATTTCCCACCGTAAAGCATGAAGGAGGAGGTGTTATGGTGTGGGGGTGCTTTGCTGGTGACACTGTCTGTGATTTATTTAGAATTCAAGGCACACTTAACCAGCATGGCTACCACAGCATTCTGCAGCGATACGCCATCCCATCTGGTTTAGGCTTAGTGGGACTATCGTTTGTTTTTCAACAGGACAATGACCCAACACACCTCCAGGCTGTGTAAGGGCTATTTTACCAAGAAGGAGAGTGATGGAGTGCTGCATCAGATGACCTGGCCTCCACAATCCCCCAACCTCAACCCAATTGAGATGGTTTGGGATGAGTTGGACCGCAGAGTGAAGGAAAAGCAGCCAACAAGTGCTCAGCATATGTGGGAACTCCTTCAAGACTGTGAAGCTGGTTGAGAGAATGCCAAGCATGTGCAAAGCTGTCATCAAGGCAAAGGGTGGCTATTTGAAGAATCTCAAATATAAAATATATTTTGATTTGTTTAACACTTTTTTGGTTACTACATGATTCCATATGTGTTATTTCATAGTTTTGATGTCTTCACTATTATTCTACAATGTAGAAAATAGTAAAAATAAAGAAAAACCCTTGAATGAGTTGGTGTGTCCAAATTTTTGACTGGTACTGTATATATATATTTTAAAATAATTACTAGGCTATTCAAAATCTAAAACAAATTCACTACAATTGTAGGCTAAATCTGAATTTGTTTAATATAGGCTAGACCAATTATGTTCCAAAGATCTTAAATCTGTATTTTTTAAATGTTTTTCTGCCATGTGTAATATGCAATATGTATTACATAATGGCACAGTCATTATTTAAATTCAGGGTTTTTCTTTTTCGGGCTTGGGCTCATATATAGTCCTATGCTTATGCATAAACTTTTGAATTAATCATCACCTTTGAAGGCACTCTCCATTTTGTTGTTAGTCTTTGAAACAACATCCACAATGACCATGTTTTCCACTCAGTTTCAACCTATTTTTGAACTTCTTCCTTGAAATTGATCAATCACCGTGAGGTGAGTTTTAAAAGCACATACTGTTTTGATGATGTGTTTGATGTGATTTTCGATTGCATTTGCATTGATGTCAGAGTGGTTAGAGGGACAATAGAGCCCTGAGTACAAGGCCATTAGTGACCTGATGATCGTTAGCGACTAGCGAGTTGGGTAGGCTACTACTAAGGCATGTCCAGAGTGCATATGAGGAGATTACCGTGACTCAACGGTCATGTAGAATTTTACTGCGGTCATGACTCATGACTGCCAGTGTGACGGTAACCACAACAGCCCTATGCCCTACTTCCATCAACACATCTCCTTCCCCACTAGGGACGATAAAGTCCTAGACCACTGTTACTCTACCCACAAGCAAGCATACAAGGATACAAGACGTCCCTCTACGACCTCCACAGAGCCGTCAAACAAGCAAAAGGACAATATAGGAACAAGGTGGAATCCTATTATACAGGCTCTGACGCCAGCCGCATGTGGTAGGGGCTACAGTCCATTACGGATTACAAAGGAAGAACCAGCCGTGATCTGCCCAATGATGCCTCTCTACCAGACGAACTCAATGCATTTTATGCGCGCTTCAACAAAAACAACACTGAGTCATGCATGAGGGTCCCCGCTGACCCAGACGACTGGGTGATCACTCTCCAAGGGTGACGTGAGAAAGGTTTTTAATCAGGTCAACACTCAAGGTTTCGGGGCCGGACGGTATTCCAGGGCGCATTCTCAGAGCATGCGCAGAACAACTGGCAGGCATACTCACCGCCATTTTCAACCTCACCTTGTCCCAGTCTGTAATCTCCACACATCTCAAGCTGACTACCATCATTCCTGTTCCCAAGAACTCTAAGGCTACCTGCCACAATGACTACTGCCCTGTAGCACGCACATCTGTAATCATGAAGTGCTTTGAAAGGCTAGTTATGGCACACATTAACTCCATCATCCCAGACACACTAGACCCACTCCAATTTTCATACCACCACAACAGATCCATAGACGACGCAATATCAATTCCACTCCACACTGCCCTCACCCATCTAGATAAGTGGAATACCTATGTAAGAATGCTGTTCATTGACTCTTCACCAAGCTTGTGACTCTGGGACTGAAAACCTCCCTCTGCAACTGGATCCTGGACTTCCTGACGAGCTGACCCCAGGTGGTGAGGTTAGGCAACATCACCTCCGCCACGGTGACCCTCAACCCCTCCTGTACTCCCTGTTCACCTACGACTGCGTGGCAACGCACGACCCCCACATCATCATTAAGTTTGCTGACGACACAACGGTGGAAGGCCTGATCACCGGCGACGATGAGACAATGAGACAGCCTACAGGGAGGAAGTCAGTGAACTGGCAGTGTGGTGTCAGGACAAGAACCTCTCCCTCGACGTCAGTAAGACCAAAGAGCTGATGATAGACTACAGGAAACAGGGGGCAAAGCGCGCCCCCATCCACATCGTCAGGAGCGGGTCAAGAGCTTCAAGTTCCTCTGTGTCCAAATCTCTAAGGACTTAAAATTGTAAACACACACGAACACAGTCGTGAAGAAGGCGCGACAGTGCCTCTTTCCCCTCAGGAGGTTGAAAAGATTTGGCATGGGCCCTCAAATCCTCAAAACCATTGAGAGCTTCTTGACTGGCTGCATCACTGCTTGGTATGGCAACAGCACTGCCCTCGATTGCATGGCGCTACAGAGGGTGGTGCGGACAGCCCAGTACATCACTCAGGCTGAGCTCGCTGCCATCCAGGACCTCTATATCAGGCTGTGTGAAAGGATGGCCCGGAAAATTGTTAAAGACTCCAGCCAACCAAGCGGGACCGGAGCAACAATTCTGACACTAACAGGCTCCTGAACGTAAGGCTCTATCCCCAAGCCATAAGACTGCTAAATAGCTAACAAAATGGCTACACGGACTATCTGCATTAACCCTTTTATTTTATTTTTGTACTGACTCTACACCCTACACACTAACTCCCACGCATTCACACTCCAACACACACACACTTCATTTGCTCACACACAACACGCACACACATTCATACTGACTCTACACACAAGCACACACACTCACAGACAATCATCATATACGCCGCTGCTACTCTGTTTATCATATTTCCTGATGCCTAGTCACCTTACCCCTATATACACTACATGACCAAAAGTATGTGGACACCTGGTCGTCGAACATCTCATTCCAAAATCATGGGCATAAATATGGAGTTGGTGATATAACAGCCTCCACTCTTCTGTGAAGGCTTTCCACTAGACGTTGAAACATTGCTGCGGGGACTTGCTTCCATTCAGTCGCAAGAGCATTAGTGAGGTCGGATTTTGTACTTCTGTCGACAACGGGTGTGGCTGAAATAGCCGAATCCACTAACTTGAAGGGGTGTCCACATACTTTTGTATATATAGTGTATATCTACCCTTACCACTCCAGTAACCCTGCACATTGTATGGTATTGGCACTGACCCTGGAACTGAACCTGTATACAGCTGACTTACTTTCACGTGTTCTTATTTCTATTTCTTGTGTGTTTTTGTTCTACTTTACTTTATTTTATAATATAATATTTTTTACTACTGAAATTGATTACTGCATTGTTGGGAAAGAGCTAGCATGAAAGGCCTTTCACTGTACTTGTGCACGTGACAATAAAACTTGAAACTTGAAAACTTGTAGTTTACCAACAACAACCCCATCTTGTTGACAACCATGACACTAACATAGTATGATAATCCATGCGCTTGTTAGTAAGGCCAGCATTTCTAACCATAGCATTACGTTTTATTCGTGGTCCTCTGTAGCTCAGCTGGTAGAGCACGGCGCTTGTAACGCCAAGGTAGTGGGTTCGATCCCCGGGATCACCCATACACAAAAATGTATGCACGCATGACTGTAAGTCGCTTTGGATAAAAGCGTCTGCTAAATGGCTTATTATTATTATTCATAAAATTGCACCACGCGGACGCTTCATTTCAGCACCTTGGTCAGCGCCACTGGGCCTTCCATTAATGCTAGTGCCCCGCCTCAAAGCATAATCAAATATCAATATAAACATGTTCAACTGCAACGACCGATTTTTATTTCTCAAAAATAACGTCAATTTATACATGAATCACTGGACATACTTTAATTCAGTCAAGATTTCTGAAACTCGTTCAAAATGTTCACAGAGAGCAGCTGGCAATAACACTGTAGTCAATGACAGCCACAGCTGACTGCCACCATATCGTCATACTGTTTCAGAACCACGTTTTCCTCGTCGTCAAAATAGAGAAGGCTGATGGACTGGAGTTTGTCAGGCACGCAGCATGGTGTATCCAGGTCGTTGGAGAGCTTTAGTGCATGCATGATGGACTGCACAGTCGCATGATTCGTGGCGCGGAGACTCTCTCCGAGTGGGAACGGGCAGGAGCCCTTGCAGTGGTAAGCGTTGTACCCCCGTGGAGAGATGATCCAGCCTGCCCAGCCGATCTCCTCAAAGTCCACAAAGAGGGGGATACGCTGGCAGGACATGGGGCGGCTGCGGGGATAACTTTGGGCTGCGCGCCTCCTCCTGCTCCGGCTGTCTTGAGGCTGTACCTTCGCAGGACTGCCATGTGCTGTGGCTTGGCCGACATGTCCTACAAATATTTAAATGAGAAAGGAATATATCTGTATTTCAATAATCATCGGCAGTTAGGCATACAACTGCAAACCTACACCTTTCTCGTAATATAATTTGATAATTGACGGCCTAGCAATACGATTGTAGAAATGTTTGTACTAAATGTTCTATGATGAACAAAGTCCAATGTATAGCCTACAATCAGATAAACGTTTATTTTCAACGTTTAATTATCCCATTTTGTTTCTTTCAGTCCTGCAAATAGTCATATACTGTTGGCCCATTATTCGATTTAAACATTCCGCACACAAGATTGTAAAAAATATATGAACGAAAATGAAAGACACCAACAAAAGATAACATGATCGTAAAGTCATACGAGGTCATTTGGCGCCCCATTATAATGGAGGTGATTGAGACCCCGAGCGCACGTGCAACGGGCTCCCTGCCCAAGAAGGTCCAGCCCAGCTATGAGCAGATGACATACAGTGGGGTCCGAAATTATTGACACCTTGATAAAGATTAGCAAATATTACTGTATAAAATAAATAATTCCAACACTAATCAAACCACTTGCCTCTGTCAGGAGGCTGAAACCTGGCCACAAGTGGATATTCCAGCAAGACAATAACCCCAGGCACACATCAAAATACACAAAGAAAGGGTTAATTGGCCACAAAAATCAACATTTTGAAATGGCCATCTCAGTCTCCGGACTTGAAACCAATTGAAAACGTTTGGTTTGAATTGAAGAGGGCAGTCCACAAACTCAGACGAAGGATATCAAGGATCTGGAAGGATTCTGTATGGAGGAATGGTCTAAGATCCCTCCCAATGTCTTCTCCAACTCATAAAACATTGTAGAAATAAAAGGCTCAGTACCATTAGCCTCGCAGTGTGAGGTATTGAAAGGTATTAAAGACAGGGGTGTCAATCATTTTGACCCCTACCCTTTGAGAAAAAAAAAATTGGCCTCTTTCTCTGAGCAATTGTATTAGTATATAGTTTTTTTTACATACAAATAGCTCAGTATTTGAAAATATTTATTTTATACAGGCATTTTTGCTCATCTTTATCAAGGGTGTCATTACTTTCGCACCCCAGGCTACGTCTAAGGACGAGGAGGGGAGAAGGATAACTATTCATCAGAAGCAACAGAAACTATGTTCATCAACATAGTTTTTTTATCCATAATTTTTGGTCTGTTTTTACATGAAAAGTAGAAAAATAAAACTCTGAAAAGCGTTCTCTCAATGTCTTTTTTTTTTACAACTATGAGGTTGAAGGTCTGCAGGCCTTGCACACAACGATTCCACTGTTATTCTGTCTGAATATAAAAAACTTAAATTCTGCCCCTGCTAGTTTACCTTGATTTAGTGATCGATTAGTGGTGGAGCCTCTTCCGTCGTCTGAGAATATAACCAGGTAAGCGTTCTCCGCAGGTGATTCTCCCTGTCTCTCTGAAGACGGCAGGACAGACTCAATCCATTTCCCCGATGGCAGAGTAATAACAACCAGAATACCATTATTATCCTCGCTGTTGCGAATCCACTTGGACACCTTTCATTGGGGAAAACAAATGATGCGATTAAAATATTGAAAGGGTAATGTTGAAATATGATCTGCTGTGATAAAACGTGAATAGAGCTTACTGTTTGTGTGACGTTGAAGACTTCCCATCCCTGAGTGTATAAAGGCAAAAGTCTTGACGTGATTAGATTCCCTCTCCAAGGTTTTACTCTGTTATCCAACACCTCATATAGGTCCACCTGCGCGCGCAAATCATGCATTAGGCTAAACAGTACAATAATTATGTCGAGTTATTTCAACACACTTAAAAGTATGTATTTCCAACTAACCTTGTAGAAATAGGGTCCATATGACTGCCCAAGGAAAAGTCTTTGTTTTTGCCTGAACCAGCGAAATTCTGCTTTGATCATTCTCTCATCTCTGGCAAATGAGGACAAATTGAAGAAATGAAACCTTCCACCGGCATGTCCTGTGTAAATATATGAAGAATTGTGTTTAAATAAAACGTCTGAAAGTTTTCCCTTTAAGATTTTTTATATATTTTGTATATTATTTTCAAACATGCTTGGTCACAAAAGTATGTGCGTAATTACGCGCTTGGAGATAACTCACCTCTGTCCTCGAAGCTCCGCACCACATTGCCCTCTAGTTTCTCCGAGTTCCTGGGGATTCCATTGGAGTCTGCCACTGCGTTGAACAAGTCCAGCATAAACTGAGGTGCCTTTCTATGAGGCACTGAAGAGCTCTCAGGCAAATCCTTCGGATTGAACAATTCGTCCATCTTCTTAGCCGACTTTGTTATATCCAAACGGTTGTCTTTCCAAACAGTTTCTTTGGATTCTTCGTCATAAGAGATAGTGAAAATGGACACGGTTCTTAGCGGTAATGTGAGGACGAGCCAGATGAGTAGACCCTGTAATATCATGCTAGCGATAGCCTAATGAGCCCGACTGGTTATGGGTCAGTGATTAGGCTATCACCGCCTTTGATAGGAGCAAGCGCCCCTGTCCTGAGGGTGATGGGCGATTGGACCATTTAAAGGTCTACGAATTCATATAGAGGATTTAAATACTGAAGCAGCACCCCCTCAGACAAACAATGAATCATTTGACCTACAAATGGCAGGTAGGCCCAAATAAGAGGGTCATCTGACCTATTCGTCTGACCCAGCCTCTCTCCCCTTCACTCCACTGCACAACATATACATTATTCAATTGTTATCAAATCAAATCGAAATGGAAAACTAAACTAAACTAGATAGACAGGACATTATCGTAAATCACTAGGCCTATTGATGTCTCAAATGCTACCTTAATCTGAAGATATTATATGGTGTACATTTGAGTTTTCACTCATAGCAACAACAAAAAAAGACCCGTTATTCTTAACAAAAAGACCAATGACGCACGTCATCACATCATGAACTAAAAGACCAACGTTTTTCTCAGTTTATCCTCGTTTTTTTCTCTAGTGTGTTGTCCGTTATCTGTATGAGGCCAGTTGGCCCTCAAAGCAACGCATACGCAAAACCTATGACGCAAATGAAAACTGAGGTTTACTTGTTGTTACGGGGAGTCTCCGTTGGGCGTTGTTTGTTGAATGACTCACAGGATTAAATGCTAATGAATGGAGGTGTCACCAAATCCAATAATCTGTGTATTCGCATTTTAAATTAATCGGGGATTATCTTCAATCAAGGGTGAGAAGAGAACACATTCCTGAAATCGTCTCACTGATCAATGTGGCTTCCACTTATAATGCATTTAATCAATTCAAAATAATCTGCTACAAAATGATGATCCCCTCATTTGGAAGCAATTACTCAGTCACGGCCTTGTTATTCCGCACGTGAGCCCGCACGAGGCCATCCATGGTCAGATGACATATCACTGTATGCGAATTTATTGCATTGTGGATGTGTCCATTATTTCACCTTGTGCATATTTGCCATTGTACATATCGATTATAATACTAAAGAGCATATTTGCCAGACACCCACACCATGGACATAAAAACGTTTGAACAGCAGTGAAAGTGGACGGTTGTGCATACAGAGGACCCTGCATGTGCGTCATCCACCGCGCAGGGCACATTGGAACCCCCCTCTGTGACCAATAAACGCAGTGTGTGGGATCACCTCAAATGTTTGGACTGACCATGTGCCGATTACTGATAAACGGGAAGAGAAGCCTTATGACGTGGACCGAATCTCATAGGCCTACCACGTTATTCTGCATTGTTTGTATAACAGCGACTTCATCTCTGCCTTGGTTCTTGGCTGAATGCAGTAGTCTCATGTATGCAGTAGATGGCGGCATTGACCGAAGCATAAGTTGATACACACTTTGCATGTGCCTCTGAGGTAATTATTATGATGTGGAGCCTTGTTGTGACCAGTCCGGCGTGGGCAATCACTTTGCAAAAACATTGCACACTTCCCATCATTAACTCATGGTTAGTGCTATCCGGGATCCTTGGGACGTCCCTACCCTAACCTTAACTGCTACCCTAACCCATACCTTAACCGTTTTAAATTTTAACTTCTATGGGGCGACGTCAGAGTTCGGACATCCCAAGGATCATGTTAATATGTCTACATTTGACATTTTAGTCATTTAGCAGACGCTATCCAGAGCGACTTACAGTTAGTGCATTAATCTTAAAATAGCTCGGTGGGACAACCACATATCACAGTCATAGTAAGTACATTTTCCCTCAATAAAGTAGCTATCAGCAGAGACAGAGCAGGAAAGGGGGAAAAAAGTATAGACAGAGAAGAGCTTGGACTGGGCTGATCGTGGCAGAACGGACTGCTTGGGTTGGGGTGTAGGGTTTGAGCATAGCCAGAGTTGGAGGATGCAAAATCAGGTGTAGTGTTATTAAATTAGGTGATACAATGTTAAGTGTGGCAAAAACTATTTAGGAACATTTTCAAAATGTCAGACAAAACAGGCATTCCTGCCAATGTAACGTACCTGGCACAGGTGGGGCCTATCAGGACATGACCAGCCTCCCCATCAGGAAATCCAACACCAGAAAAACAAAAACAACCCGATAACAGCAACACACAGGTATAGGACCCCTTTGATTATACCAGAGAGGAAGAGGCGAAGCGAGAGGATTTACTCTGACCAAAATCTGTCTACGCGAGATAAGCCCTTTTTTGTCTATGAGAATCAACTCTATGTAACAATTACAACAAAAATAATCAACGATATGCAATGAGATGACATGAGATAAAGAAAACCTCTTCCTGGTAAGTGTTTGAGAATGTTAATGAGCCCCTAAACACTGCATCCACTCAGACGTTCAAATAGAAGACGTTCAATATTCAACGGCTTTTGGAAAATGACAGTGATCAATACATAACTTGCAGGGGGAAATGAATAAGACGTGTATTAAACTATTTAGAGGCAGAAATGCACGTTAGGGATGGAGCGGCTAGGCGTCAACTGGCATCTGTCTTCTTTTGCAGGCTTTGTACAAAATATTAAAATGCAGTACGACAGGATCTTTATAAAATGTAGCTCTTTATTAGCTATGCAACTATAATATAATAATAATATGCCATTTAGCAGACGCTTTTATCCAAAGCGACTTACAGTCATGTGTGCATACATATTTTACGGTCCCGGGGATCGAACCCACTACCCTGGCATTACAAGCGCCATGCTCTACCAATTGAGCTACAGAGGACCACTGACATGTTCATGTGTCTCCGACCATGATCAACTGCAATGACCTCACGACCTGGGTGGTCTTAACCAATCATAGCGCAGAATGATATGACAGTAGAATACAACCAATACAATTCAGTATATTGACACATTGAATATGAATATTGACACATTAACATTACATCATCCTCACCTCTAATCACCCAAATCAGTTAGTTTTAATACTGAAAAAGAGAAAGTGGCCAACCCCCTGGTAAACATCTCTATTGTCTATGATTTATGATTGAACTCTGTTCGCAGTGATCATGTGCTGTCAGTACAATCAGTACTACACCACATCCCCACACCTCTGACTAAACAAAACCAAGCACATTGAATGGCCTTGTTATGGTAAAACGATAGGCTGCTTGAGGTGCCTCCAAAAACCCCTCTGCATTTCCCAAATATTAGCGTCAGCAGGGGTGCTGCTGTATCAAGGTGTACTGTGGGGGATTTCTGGCATTAGGTAAGCTAGTTTCACTGAGAGGAGAAAGCATATCTCTGTCTCTTACCCCGACACTGCACCACATAAGTCCTATTTTTTTTCCTAGTCCCCCTTAATCTTGATTATATTGAAGATATGAGGGAAAGGCAGGAACACGGTGTGTCAGAAAGCAGACAGAAGTGGAAAGGGCTTGTCGTTTTTTACAGGGCTACTGAGACAGACAGTTACTCTCCTCTCTCCTGTCTGACTTTAGCAGCAGACTCTGGGACAGCCTTGGAGATCAGCTTTGCCACCTAATATGCCTTTATTTAAGATTTAAGACTGCCACTGCCACTTTTATAAGAAAAAGATTAAGCATATGTATTACATCTAAACAGTCTGGAAAGGGAAAAGAGGGGAGACAGTAGAATGATTGGCTGAGAGTGAGACAGTATGCACCCAGTATCTCCATTTCAGAAGAGCTCAGGAGTAACCCTTATAACCCTGTTAACCCTCGCCCAACTCTTCTAATCGAAGTGGACAAATGTGGACTGTCAGGACTCAGGACAGCCTTCTAAATATGTTGTGGCTGTCTCCTCTTACCTCTCTGTCTCCTCTTCCCTCTCTGTCTCCTCTTACCTCTCTGTCTCCTCTTCTCTCTCTGTCTCCTCTTCCCTCTCTGTCTCCTCTTCCCTCTCTGTCTCCTCTTCTCTCTGTCTCCTCTTCTCTCTCTGTCTCCTCTTCCTTCTCTGTCTCCTCTTCCGTCCCCGTCTCCTCTTCCCTCTCTGTCTCCTCTTCTCTCTCTGTCTCCTCTTCTCTCTCTGTCTCCTCTTCCCTCTCTCTCCTCTTCCCTCTCTCTCATCTTACCTCTCTGTCTCCTCTTCCCTCTCTGTCTCCTCTTACCTCTCTGTCTCCTCTTCCCTCTCTGCCTCGTCTTCCCTCCCTGTCTCGTCTTCCCTCCCTGTCTTAGTGTCTCATCCCTCCCCATCTCAGTCGCTCTTCCCTCTCCATCTCAGTCTCTCTTCCCTCTCCGTCTCAGTCTCTCTTCGCTCCCCGTCTCAGTCTCTCTTCCCTCCCCATCTCAGTCTCTTTTCCCTCCCCGTCTCAGTCTCTTTTCCCTCCCCGTCTCAGTCTCTCTTCTCTCCCCGTCTCAGTCTCTCTACCTCCATGCTTTGACTAGCTCCTCTGCTTTTGGCAGTCCATCTGCTCAAGTGGGTCTGAGCCACCTTTCAGCACCTCGTCCCTGGCACAGAAGCAGCTAGGCCCCTGCATGGGGTGTGGTGCTGGTTGTGTGTTTGTTCGTTAGAGGGGGTAAATTCTACTCATAGGAACCCCCCCCACCCCATCCCCCCCTCCACACACACACACTTGCTGCTGACCCAGTCAGTCACTGATAGACACGTTGGCACATGGTAAACAAACAGCCCTGAGCAGTGCTGACAGAGCAGTGCTGGGCCTCTGCCAGGCTGAGCGGTTGGTGAAGTGTGCGAGGGACGCCAGTCCGGTGAGGCCCCTCCCTGCTTCCCTCTGAGGCGTATACTCACTGCTGCTACTGTAGGATACCACTCACATCTCACATCTCACCATTCACTAGAGCCAGCATTGCCATGTCAAAGATACATGGTCCTTATTTATTGAGGGAGAGGGACTATTTTAGCTGTATGCTGACTACTGTCTTTGCAGAGGGTTTGCTGTTGTGGATGACACTTCTTCAACCTTCGACACTGTCCTCCTTGTACTCAGCCATGCTGGGTGTTGAGGAGGATTCTTGTTAGTCCTAACACG